TTCTTTTTAATTGATTCAAAATGATTCTTAATGATTCATCGTGACTTAAAGTAATTGAAAAATGATTTAAAGTGATTGGAAAATGATTCAAAATGATTGTAAATGATTCAAAATGATTCAAAATGATTGGAAAGATTGCGAAGATTGTAATGATTGAAAGTGATTGTAAATGAATCAAAATTATTGGAAATGTGATTCTTTTGGAAAGTGTACAGCGATTCTTCCAAGTGGTGGACCCCTCGAAAGGGACGCACGTCCGGCCCGACCTCTAACGAGCCTAGCAGCAAAGTCTGCTCTTTTCTGAAACAAATTGCTCATGAGCACTCCTCCCACGAGACCCCCATTATCGCACTTTTTACTGCCGAATGGGAATGCGGCGGAACGCGTCGGAAACGAAAGCGTATCGACGCCAATATGAGCGCAGAGTGAGTGAGACCGCAGTTATTGTCTAGTCCTGACCTAGGTATACCGACCTAATTTACTTCAACATCAAAAAGGGTTATAATACCCACGTTAATGTTGATGTTTAGGTTTTGTGACGAAGCAACAAACCACCACACTCCCTTCCTTGTCAAAAATTTAATGAAGTGCAGGTTTTGACATTTCAGAAACAAGTTTAGCAAATGGGCGGTAGCAAACTCAAAACGGCGACCTACGGCATTCCCTAGCCGTATCGCGCACTCTGATAAAGACAATGCAATGCAATGCTCGCACAACACCGCTCACTCGGCAGGAGGAGGCAAGTGAACGCCAGTCACAGCGGTGCAGTGGAGGTCAGCCAGGCATAAAAGTGAACGTGGTGTTAGCGACAGCAATGCGAGGCAACACAGGCAACAGCAATGCGAGAAAGGGCCACAGGAAAGGGGGTGGGGGCGGGTGGGGGGATCTCCGGCAGAGGCGAATTAAGGGGGGCGGAGAGGGGGGGCGGTGTATCGAAAGTTGCCTACTACAGAGGTTTTGTGTGTCAAATTGCCTAGCGAGCCGCCCGAAAGGTACGCAATTTGCGCGTCGCGTTCCATGGGAGGGGAGAGGCGGGGAGAGAGAGGGAGGGGAGAGGGAGGGGAGAGGGA